TAAAATATTAAATAGTATTAGTATTTCTATACACGTGTCACGTGCATCGAAAATTCGTCCGTTTGATCGTACGTATGTTTTGTTAACACAATTGTAACTTGTAAATTTATTGTAAAGGTTTTACTTTAGTGCGAGTAGTGCGTTTTATATATAGTTTAGTGTTCGATATTTATTTAAGAATGGATCAGAAACGACATATTAGTGGAGCACAAGCGAGAAAGCGTGCAATTGATAAAAAAGAAAAAGAAGTGATTTTACTTAGTAAAATACCTAGGTTAAATAATTTTTTTAAACAAATAAATAACATTACCCCTAGTTGTGTTGAAGATATTAAACTAGAATCTGTAAATGATATAACTATTACTAATAATTGTTCTACTACTTCTACTTCTATTCAATATACTGCGTCTTTTTCAGATCAATCAGTTGTTGATGTAAATGAGGAATCAGAAAAATCTGAGCTAAATGTCATTCCTAATCCTCTTACGCAGAATAATACAAATAATTTTAAAGATCCAGCAGATTGGACAAATAGTAATATATGTCGTAATTATATTGGAAAATTTGGATATGATCAGAACATTGATGCAGATTTTACCTCATAAAAACGAACTTGTTCTGATTATGATCGTTATTGTAGTAAATAAATTTTTACGAAAAATCGAAAAAACGGAGAAAATGTTTCACGGAAATGGCTTGTTTATTCAATTTCAAAATTTGTATTATTTTGTGGTCCATGCAAATTATTTGGATGCAGTACTCAACTGGGAGATGCTGGATTTAATGATTGGAAAAATGGACATTTAGTTATTTTCAGGCACGAAAATTCTTTGGCACATAAAAATAATACATTAAGTTTTATTACATTACAAAGTGATGTAGGTAGAATTGACACTCAATTGGCAACACAAGTGACTGATGAAATGAATTACTGGAAAGCTGTTCTTCATCGAGTTGTTGAAGTAATTAAATTTCTCGGTGCAAAAGGTTTATCATTCAGAGGTGATAATGAACAATTTAACAAAATTAACAATGGGAACTTTTTAGGAACGTTAGAGTTACTTGCTAAATATGACCCTTTTATTGCTCAACATATAGAAAAGTATGGGAATAGAGGGAAAGAAACTCCGTCTTATTTATCATCCACAATCTATGAAAAACCTTTACTTTTGATGAAGAATGATATAATTAAAATTATATTAAAAGAACTAAAAGCAGCCCAGTATTATTCTTTAATTGTTGATTCTACACCTGATATAGCAAACGTCGATCAACTTGTTATTGCATTAAGATATGTTTTACCTAGTGGTGTACCTGCAGAAAGATTTTTAATAGTCATTCTAAACAGTGGTCATAAATCTGAAGAAATGAGCAATGTTGTAATGGATTTTCCTAATTCACACAATATACCAATTGAAAATTGTCGTGGCCAGAGCTACGACAATGCGAGGAATATGTCAGGTCAGTATTCTGGATTGCAATCAAGAATTAAAAGTTTTAATTCATTTGCAGAGTATGTACTATGTTCTGCACATTCTCTTAACTTGGTCGGAACGTGTGCAGCAGAAAGTTGTAATTCTTCTACTTCATTTTTTATGCTTCTCCAGGAACTATACACTTTTTTTTCTAGTTCTATTAAAAAAAAAAGAGTAAGGTATGTTTAACTTATTAGTTTTAAAATACACATAAAATAATTTGAAAACAGTCATAAACATTAACAACACTAAAAACTACTTTTTTTTAGGCTAAGGCTGATAAATCAAGATCTCAACCTCTTACAGAAATTACAGGGAAAATAGATTTTATTAGAAATGTATATTATGTGATCATTGATACTCTTAAATGTCAACCTAGTTCGAGAAGACAAGCTTATGAAAAAATATCAGATATTTATGGGTGTATGCCCACATTGTATAAAACACCGAGTTCTATTGTTGTAAGAAACACATGTGAAACTTTGGCAAAATATTTTATTGATGTTGAAAACTCAAGCTTACTTTTAAATGAATGTATTCTTTTTTCAAAATTAATTTCCACGGATAAAAATGTAAAATCTGTTCTCTCTATATATAAGTACATCAAGACCAAAGAATAAGAGTGTATGTTTCCAAATTTAGAAATAGTTATGCGTATGTACCTTAGTACAGCAGTTTCAAACTGATCAGGCGAAAGAGCTTTTTCTGTACTTAAATCAGTAAAATCCTACTTGAGGTCAACCATGAAGAAGGAAAGACTATATGCATTAGCAATATTTAGCATTGAAGCAGAATTGGTTGAAAAATTAGATTTTAATGATACTATTAACACATTTGCCCATCAAAAAGCAAGAAAAAGGAAAATATAAAATAATGGTTAGTTATTTTTTGTAATATGATTATTTTATATTTTTATATATCTAAAATATATTTTGTTTAATTTTAATTTTATGTTTTTACTTGTTTTCACAAAGGTATTATATACATGTACATACTGATTTGGCTATTAAACCTAAAATAAAGTTTTATTATTTATTCAAGTATCGAGTAGAGAAATGTGTACAATATTTTTTTTTTAATTGGGGGCACCAAATTTTTTACAGCCTATGGGCACTATAGATCTTAATCCGGGCCTGTGCACAACTCTTCTATTGCATTTGTAAAGGCTAAGAATAGTGATGGTACATTTTAATGTACAGTTATTAGGACTAAATATTTAGACAATGTATTTGACTCCCCAGCTCCATCAATGCAATTTAGTATATCATTATTTCGAACTATAATTTTAATAAAGTTGTCTAGAGAACGCTAAGTGTTGCTGATTTTCAAAGAAAGTGTGTTTGCTTAGAAGAAAAAAGAGGCCTATCAATATTTCCATTACTACATTATTACGAGAAATTTTAACTATTAACTTGTTTTTGAATAATAGTTCATATATACATTTGTTTTTTGTTTTTATACAAAGTATAAAAATGTATATATATTTATTCAAATAAATATATAAATATATACTTTTATTTATATATCGTTTTTATAGAGTGAAAACCTACCAACTCTATAATAAACAACTTTCACAGAGAGACAAAAAGTTCTTCAAGTTTAATCTATCATTCGTTTTTGTCAAAAAGTCAATGTGGGAATAAGGTTTTTTAAAAAACTCTTTTTTTATGTTTTGTGTTAATAAAGAATAGTAGGTAAAAAGTCAAAACACTCAAAAATGGATTTAGTATGTTAACACTAAGTAGGCGATTTATTAATTTTTATATGAATCAAATTTAAATGTGTGTTTTTCTTTCCTTTTATTAGAGAAGCATTTTTTATAGCTCAAAGTAGTTATATACACAAAAAAAACTACTAATATTACTTAATGCTACTGTTAACTGCTGTATTTTAAACTGTAGCAGTTAATTTAAAAAAATAGTTTAATAGTTTTTTTGTTATATTAACCACTACATTTAAGTATAATTTAAATTTTATAAATACTATACTTTACTTAAAGTAAATTCTATAGTTATAATGTCTTGGTGCCAAGCTGTATGGCTAGAGGGATCAGTTGAAGAAGAGCTGATGATACCTCCAGTGTGGATTGAAAGAGCAGTAGTTAAAAAAAGGTTTGTTAGGTGGCCTATTGGTATGAATGTTATAAAAGCATGTAACCAACAGGCTATACCACAGAACAGATGGTTTCGCTTTCCACTTTTTAAGAAAAAGTGTCGTCATAGTAAGTAATCCAATTTTTTTACACTCACTCGCTATGAACAGTTATTTATTTGGAATAAATTTATAACAATATATATATATATATATATATATATATATATATATATATATATATATATATATATATATATATATATATATATATATATATATATATATATAATATCGATAACTTTTTCTCAGCTGCATGCCCTGAAATGCCTATGTTTTCCACAGCGATGTCGCGATCTCCCTACAGTGAGTCTTCAAATTTTTCTTCTCTACAAAACCCTGCAGTGGAACTTTAGCTTTTCCTGAACTTAAGATGCGTTTTAAACAACCAATTTCAAAGTTATAGGGTTCAAAACCTTGAACACAGTCACCAATAATATCTACTTCTTCTAAAACTTGTTCTACCTTTTAATCACCTGGTGTTAAGTCAACCTGTCAATCCCAATTGTTATCATTGTCATTAAAATCTAAAATCCTATTCAAAAATTGTCCCTACCCATGTCTCCAATTTTAGTAAACCAACCATCTTCTTCAAGTCAAGTCATGCTGCTACAAGTAAATGTAGCTCAAAATACTAAAACTTCAATGCCTAAATTTCCTCTTACAGAAGTTGGTAAAATTATTTATTTACAGTTTTGATAGTTTTTGCTTTTTACATGTTTTAACAAAAATAAGAATATATATTTTGAGGGGTATTATTTGCCCATTTATTTCAATTTAATTGTCTAATTTATCTTATTAATCTATAAATAATAATCATGTATATTCTGTAAAATGATCTAAATCTAAATTTTTTAGAGTTCTAATATAAAGTAATTCATTTGCTGACACAAATTCTTGAAGAGCAGTGCAAGATTGGGAAATATTATGAACCTAAATATTCTGCATACCATGTGCAGAAGTTTGATAATTTGGAGGAGTTTGAGAGGTTTGATGATGAACTTTGTGACATTGAAAAGTTGAGTTATTTAGTAAGTAAATATATTAATATATTTTTTTAACAGTAAATGTATTAATACCTTTTTTAACATCAATTGTTTACTCAGCAGGTTAATTGTCACAATAACAACCTAGTATTTACAAATAAAACCATACTTTCAAGAGGTGCAGTACATAAAAATCACTCTTTCCCTTTTGTGCTATCTGGTCCAGAAGGATCAACAAACAAGAGGCCGCTCACCCAAGATAAAAAAGATGGTAAGGGCTTAAATGGGTATTACTATTTTACATATATAAGAAACTTTTTACGCCTAGAATATATTTATGTAAGGTTTTTTTATTAATCAACTTTTTATTTATTTAATATTGCTCTGTTCTTTTAAGAAAATTGAGCACTCTATTCTGTAGAATACATTTAAACATTGTGTGTCTGTGTGTGTGTGTGTATATATATACATATATGAATATATATATATATATATATATATATATATATATATATATATATATATATATATATATATATATATATATGTATATATATATATGTATATATATATATATATATATATATATATATATATATATATATATATATATATATATATATATATATACAAATATATTTATATATATATGGATGTGGAGCCCCCCTCACATATATTTATTTTTCTTCAATTTTTAAGTAATTTTATGTTATGGGACAGTGCGAGAATAAATTTAATTAATTAATTTTTGAAAAATATTGCATATTTCCTCAATATTAAAAAGTAATAAAATTTTTTAAATTTTAGTTTCTTGATTTTTAACTTTTTGAAGGCCCTTAAACGTTGGGGGCCCTAGGCGGCTGCCTTATGTGTATACACACACATACATACACACATAATGTTAAAATGTATTCTTTAGATTTATATAAAATCATATTGATTTTAAAAAAGACAATTAACTATGGTTGGCGGCAGTTCGTACCATGCAAATGTTAAAGCAATTCTTTTAAAGTAAGTTCTTTTTTTAAAAAAAGTTTATTGTCCATAGACATTATACTGCTATATTGACATTTTCTCAGTTTATTTAAATAATCTTAGTAATCATCTCATAGTATTAAATTATTAAAATAAAAGTTCATTTTTGCTCATATTTTAGACTTATGACAAACAAGTTGATGGCGTGCTTTAACATGAAAGGGAAAAATAAAAAAGCTTTTAAAAAAACAAACATAATTATAGTCATTGTGGGTATGTTATTTCCTGCTTAATAATTTCAAAGGACTTAGTTGAAATAAAAGTTAAAGAGTATTTATATATAAATAAAAATGATGATTGTGATGATGATAACAATGATGATTACTGTGATTAATAAATCTTAAATTTTTAAAATCAAGATTGATTTTAAAAATTTAAGATTTAGGATAAAAATGAACTATATATTTTGAATTTACGTTTTTATTTAAAAAATTATAATTTTTCTGCAAAGCATACTTGTATAGCCAAGTTATTTTGTTCTTGCTTGAACAAATTAACTTAGCTAATAGTTAGTATATAGTTTATAGCTTGAAGTATATAGTTTATAGCTTGAAGAATATAGTTTATAGCTTATGAATTTTAATGTCATTGTAGATAGCACGTCTAAATGTACACTTTATGAGGTGCACGAATTGATTGGTAATGTGTTCAAACGTGCTTCAGACAGGGAAGATGGCGGTGGAGGCGGCTATAAAGCAGACGAAGACCAAGACTTATGTTAATGATAAAATGCTATTGTTCTTAATCAGATGTTTTAATTATATTGATATTTTAAACTGTCTAAGAATTTTGAAGGGGAAATTTTCTAAATTTTCACTTAATGCGTTACCCTCAGGATGTTGAATTTAAGAACTGATTATAAAATTTACTAATATTTGACTAATGTGGCGTTTTTTTGTTTAAATTTCGATTTCGAATAGACTGGAAATAGTCTTTTTTAACTCAAATTTGTCTTTTTTAAGTCGAACTTTTTAATTCTGATTTGTATATTCTCAAGTCTTATAATTTTTAATTTTCAAGTTTATAATTTGCGCAAGACGTGCACTTTTGTGTTCGACATGCCCAACTTAAGCTTGAGAATTGAAAATTTAAGTCGAATATTAAAATAAGGTGTACGTTCAAATTTGGACGTACATTTTACGTTCAAGTTTGGACGTACATCAGTATTTCCAATCTGAACCAAATCTATACTAAAACTGTACGTTCCATCCGGACGTCTTTTGTACGTACAACGAACGTACCCGTGCACGCTGGGTTGTCTGAGGCACAAACTGTAGAAGTGTTTAAGTGAGAATTAATTTTAGTATTGGAAGCAAGAGTAATTTCTATGTTTAACAATGAAATAATCTGTTTAACTGTCAGGAAGAGAATGCCCGTTATTTTATAAATAACAAGCAACTTTGGTTAACTCCATTCATAACTAAAACCTAAACACATTTAAAACTTATACATACAGAATCTTAAATAAATATTATATATGCAAATTAACTGACATTGAATTGCAAACATGCCTTATGATCTAACAATCTGACCAGTCATATTTTGAAGCATTTTGATAATGCTGGAAAAAAGTAGCACGAAAGTTTAATTTTCAAAGTAAAAATACTGTTTAAAGTAGAAATAGAATCCAGTAAGAGTCCTGATTTATTAAAAAACAGACTTGGTGTAAAACAGAAGAGATTGTTGAAAGTATACAGCTGTATACAAGGAGGATCAGGGGAGTGGTGGTGGTGGTTAATAGTTAAATAGTTACTTTTAAATAGTTTTTAAATTGTTAAATAGTTTACTTAAGACTTATTTTGAAATATTGTTTTACTCAATTATTATGTCAATTTCTTCCAAAAATAGAACACTTTCTATGTTATCTTTTGAATGGTTCACAAGGTTTTTTAGAAGGTGAATGAAATAGAAATCAAGATTTTTTTTTCCTAGCATTGTCAGAATTGTCCCATTTTTCTTTATTGAATTGCACACGATCAATAACCATTCCTTTGTTGGTATAAAATATAAAGTCACACCATGTTTGAGTTATTAAAGCTAGCTGCATTTGTATTTGGTCATAACTACGGTCTTCATTTATTGTGATCAATTCAGTTAATTCATTGTATTTATTACATGCATTTTTAGACATAAACCAAATGTCTTTGGAATCAACATTTTTATATTCTTCACTACATTTTACTTCTATGATTCCGAAAAGCCCATCAACTTGAACTTTTCCATCTGGAGTTGCTCCAAGAATAAAATTATTTTTGTCTAACTATTAATTTACTAGTCCGCATGGTTCAATAGTCGCAACATGATTATCAGACAACAGATATTTTTTAAAATTGGAAACTGCTATTGGTTCGTAAAACTTACCATTAGTCATTTTTTTTGGACAATAGTGTTTTTAATATTTTTATCTTTTTGAAATACAATATTTTATGCTTGTGTTTTTAGCCCCTTTTTACTCTTTACATTTTTTATTTTATTGCACAATGATGCTGTAAAGCGGTTATTTCTTTTTTCAAATCAAAGTGAACAACGAGCTTGATCACGTGTCAATCTTTCAATTTGATTAATGTCATCACTACTAATCTTTAGTAATTCAATTAGTTTTAATGCCTTTAAATCTGTGACTTTTTGTATATTCTCGTCAAGATTACAATCAGTGTTGTTAAATGGGTAACTTGGATATTTTTAACTATTAAATATAGACATATTTGTTATTTCTCTAAGGTTTGAATATACTTTAAAGTTTGGTTGTATTATTGGTGCATGAATGGCAAGTACATATCCTTCTGGCATCATGCCAAATTTAGTTTTAATGTTATTTTGGTAATTCTGATTATCTATTCCAAGAAAATGTAAATTAGGGTTAATAATTGAGATTTTGTTTATTAAGCTAGAAATTTTTTCCTTATTTTCTTTTATTGATGATTCATAATGCAAAGTAGATACAACCCCTTTATTTTCAGTAGTTGTACTATTTTTATCTTGATTCAGTTTTTTTCTTGGTGAAGATTTAATTTGCAGCTAATTTAATGTTTGTTTTTCTATTCTTCCTCTACTTTG